CGAACGTGGGGTGGGGGGGGGGGGGGGCGGGGCTCGATTTCGAAGTATAAAAAAAGGGAAACGTCGCGGCGCCGACTGGCGGAGCGGGCGGCGGAGTTTAATAATGAGAACCGAATTACAACAATCGAGGGTTCCTAGACGCTCCCCTCCCCCCCACCTCGCCGGGCCCCAATCGGGCCTTTGTTTTCCTACTGATTACAGTTTAATTAAATCCGTTGATGGGTCCCCCGCGCCGAANGGGGGGGGGGGGTTCGTCGTCGTCCCGAAGTTGTGATACGAGTGAGATTGAAAGGAGGCCAGGGATACGTGGGGGGGGGCAGGGAAAGTGATCGTGAAAATCCGCCGGCCGATGAAAGGTCGCGGGAGTATGGGTATCCGAGATTGTTGACCTTCGCTGGGGTGTCTCGTGTTTAGGGTTGAAATTTCCCGGCCCCGACTGTGTGCCCCTCCCCCTCTCGCGTAATATTTTCGTGTCCTGTGTGAAGGGGTGGAGGGGTAGGAGGAAGAGGCGGCAAGGATGCTTGGATGGAGAGATGTAAGCGAAAGAGATGTTTTATCCATTGGCATCGTCACTATAGCTACACGGAGAAAAACACCTCGTGCGTGGGACCTGAAGTTTAGGTCATATGGATCTCTGAAGTTTTCGGATTGAGCATCTGAACACTTCAGGTCTAGCTGTCGAGGCTCGGATCACACACCTGAAACTTCAGTTCTTATATCTGAAGTACTTCGGTTTTCTCATCTGAAAAACTTCGGCTCTCACATCCGAAAAACTTCGGTTCTCTTATCTGAATTTAAGTACTTCAGATGTAAGAACTGAAGTTTCAGTTGTGTGATCCGAACCTCGACAACTAGATCGAAAGTGTTCAGATGCTCAATCTGAAAACTTCAGAGATCCATATGACCTAAACTTCGGGTCCCACGCACGAGGTTTTCGGAATTGTTCGTAACGGAAATCCAGCGCTTGATGCGTTACTTTCGGTAACTTCCTTTGCGTAAATCGTGATTCCCATGCAATTTTAATGAGAGAACTTAATTCAG